CAATATTGGAAGAAGAGGATAAATTAAATTTTACTGAAAACTAGACACACACAGAGATAGTGATAATGAAATAATGTACATATAAACTAGAATAAGAACTACTAAACTACTATTTTGTTTGTGGACAAGAGAGTAAACCATACAAGGGAATTGAACATTATATTTATTTTGAATTCTGTTAGTGCATGTCTGTTTATCTATTTCGATGATATCTTGTCAAAATGTTTGTTCTAGTAAACTGAATTATTTTACAGGGAACATTTTGTATACTTTGCACTCTCTTACATATTTAAAAATGTGTTAAACAACTATAAAATATAGTTATTTGCTAGTTATCCTAGAATTGTTTGTTCATATACTCGAACCAAGCCAACAAATAAATGAACAAATATATTATATCTATGAATATAAATTAATATAAATAAATATATATATATATACATATTTATATTTATATTTATACTTTAATTAAAAATTTAAATAATGTATGTTTCTTTCAAGGGTGTAAGGATAAAAGAACAAGCACAACTCTTATTGGAACAAAACGAGAATTTCATCAAAGAAATGTCCGAAAAAGTTAAAAACAGCGAAGAACTTCTAGATCGAGCTCAAGATCAACAAGCTGCCACGGCCGAGCTTCTAGCTGAGTTAGACGAAGCCAACGAAACGGCGAATGACGCCGTTAAACGTGGTGATCAGACCCTGAAAGAAGCTCAGGAAACCTTGAAGAAATTAGGAGGTATGATTTATGAAAAGAAAGTTTTCGTATAAAATTGTTTTATTAGAAAAACCGCCCGCAAAAAATTTTATCTTTATTTCAATTTTTATATTTTGTTTTAGAATTTGACGCTGAGGTACAACGCGAACGCGTTAAGGCTCAGGATGCTTTGGAGGACATTCAAATTATTGAAGAATTGATTGATAATGCTAACATACAAGCTAAAGAGGCAGAGAGAGTGTTAAACGGATCAGAGGGTAACGCTAAAAGCTCGCGCGAAATAGCACAAAACGCTCAGGCAAGAAAGATTACTCAAACTTGTTATTGAAAAAAAATTCTCTAAATTATGATTTGTCCTTATTCCTAAATTAAACAGCAATGCCACTTTTTCTATTTCTTTCTTTTTATTTCATCTTATTTTGCGATTTATTGTCCAACAATGATATACATACATACATACATATATACTTTATCCAGACTTATGCAGATAAAGCAAGCGCCAATGCGAACGACATTAGAATAGAGGCGAATAAAACCAAAATTGAAGTTCTACGGCTTGGAAACGAAGCCGAAAAGTTACATCTCAGAGTTGATACTACAGATTCGATGATGAGGCAATACGAGACCCAAATGATTAAAGATGCCAATGTCACCGCTGAGGTAAGAATTGAATTAATTAAATTAACACAAGAAGAGGTAGTATATCGGAGATAAAAAATTAATCAATCAATAGAAAACAATTGTTAAAAAAATCATAAAAATTAACAGGATACATTGAATTAAGTAAATAAAATTTAAAAAAGATACTATTATTTATTAGAATAGCAAATATATTTTTATATAACACTTTATACAACTTTTTTCTAATTTGGACGTCTTATCTAAAACGGAAGTAAATCACAATATCTAATACTCTTATCTAACTTTTAGGCGAACCATAAAGTGGGCCAAGCAAAGACCAACGTTACTCTCGCGTCGCAACAAGTTGACAAGGCCTTATCCGATGTGGCCGCAATTATTAGAGAGCTCGAGAATTTACCAGAAATCGGTGAGTTTTTTTCGTTCCCTTTCGATTTTTTAAACTTTAAATTCATTTATACTCAGAAAAAACATGTTTGGAACATGCGGAATATGTATTAAAATAATTTCTGAAGGATTAATCTGAAATTGGAACATTCTAAGAGGTCAAATTTTCGACATTTTTGAATCTTAAATAATTCTATTTTCTATTCTATATATAATTTCTATATCTGAAGTTTATAATTTTACAATTTAGATGACGTCGACTTGAATCGTCTAGAAGAACGCCTATTCACCGCCGAGAAAGAAATTAAAGCCGCAAATTTAGATCAGCGGATCCGAGCCTTGATAGAGGCAAAAAATTTGCAGACACAATGGGTTAAAAATTACGAAGATGAAGTTAGCCGGCTGCGAATCGAAGTGGAGAATATCGATGATATTCGAAAGGCTTTACCAACTGATTGTTATCAGCGCGTTCGTTTAGAGCCTTGAAATTAATCTTCTTACGTCATATCAAACACATTTTTGCATAAGTTTTTAAAAATATTTTAAGCCATATAAAACATTTTTTAAATCCTATGTATCCTTAGCATTAATTAAGAATCGAGAATCTTTAGCTAGATCGTTAAAAGTTATTTCTTTTTTTTAGAAAAGATATTAAGATTTTATAACTCTAAAGAAATTATTTATAAAGATAATAGACTCTTGATTTTTCAACGATAAGTTTTTTAAATAATCTCAATTTTAAATACTCGATGATGATTTACATAGATTCTTACTGGTAAAGATTTTTGTGATACGAGAATATTATTAGAAACTTTTCTTTTTTAGAATATATTTAATATGCATATATTTCCATATATTTCAAGTAGATGTGTTTTTTTAAATTTGAAGTTGCAAGTCTCTTAAATCATCTACTTAATAATTAAAAAAATTTACATGATAGACTAGAGACAAATTCTATGCACATGATGGCAATAATAAACGCGTTTTATACCAAAGATTTTTTATAGTATATATATTGGGATTTATATTGTCATTTATCGTTCGATTAGCATATATTATATTTGTTATAATTGATTACTAATTATGTATAAATATGTATATAGATCTGTATACATTTATAACACATAACTGCCACGTTAATACATTATCTAAGATGATGTAGAATTTAAGAGAGCAATGTCAGGTGCTCGTATGTCAATTTTAAAAGTGTTCTTTGGATTTTCAAAAGTAATAGAATATTTTGGAATATAAAATATCTATGAATAACAAAAATAGTAAAAGATTTTGTAAAATAATAAGATTACAAATATATAAGAAAATTATTAAGAGAAAATAAGAAACAACAATTAAAATACACATTTTTATCTTAAAATAAGGATAAAATAATAGAAAATTTCATTTTCTCGTATAGCAGTGGTTGAAAAAAAAAAACTAAATGCAAAATATATATAAACGATTTAAGATTATACTATCATTTTTATAGCACTTTTTTGCTATCAACTATTATCTATGTAGCTAAACTTTGAGATTCATAATCAAGTTTAGCTCGTGTCAATCATATTTTTACATATAGACAAGATAGATAAGATGAAAGTGCATTTTTATACAAACTTTAAACGTTATAAACTGTATCGTTTGAAGGCAATAAATATCTTAAAAGTATAGTAGTAGTTAAAAATATTATCTTATTTACTATATATATCATTTGTTACATATTCAATTATACAAAAGAAATAGTATTATTATGAAACATTCTTTTGTCGCCTGAGCAACTTCGTGAAATATTACATATCCTCATATCGCAAATAAAAAAGTATGTCTATGATTGGAGACTTTTTAAGAGAAAAAACAATTTTAATATATTACAAAACATACAACACACAATTATTACATATAATAAATGATAGTAATAAAAATTTGGTAATCAAAAATTATATATAGGTAATTATTAGTATATATAAAACTGCATCTATTATTGGTGTGAGAGACATTTAAGAAGAAGCTGTCATAAATTTATTTTATATTTAACTATTTATTTTTTTATTCATAAAATCTCACTATATCAATAATATATAAGTATGTTAAATGGGACTTAGATTACATTTAAAGCTACAAAGAGGATCTTGTATATTCTTATCATGGGAAAGGAAAAGAAGAGGTTGGAAAAGGCGGGAGATGATTCATTTAATTATGAATAAAATGATTAAAAACACCAATATAGCAGTCAACACTCCAATGGCTACCCATTGTCTCCGATCTAAAACAAACGGAAAGTAACATCACATGCGTCACTCGTGATCCTCTACGAGATTAATGTGATTTACGGGATCAAATTACGATTTTATAGAAATATTCGTATCATAATTAATGATAATTAACATCCTGATAATAGAAAAATACATTGCGATGCTGGAATTTTTAATATTTATATTTATTTAGAAATTGTTTATGGAATAGAAAATTTTTTGTCTTCTGTTATTTAATTTTGCACACGACAAAATTACACAAACAAAATTAAAATTATATAAAATCTATAATATATAGAACATATCAATACCAATTATAATTTATACAATTACTCATAAAAAATTATTGATCAAATGTATTAAAAATTTGAAAATCTATTTAGAAATGTAATTCTGTATAGATAGGGGGTTCCATTTTAAATTATGTATACGAATATCTTTGTTATTAATGATGATATCGAAAATGTTTTAGGCTAAATGGTTCCGAGCGGAACATGATCTGATGACAAGTTTCTTTTCTGGATGGAAGTGTAAAGAAAATATGAAAATCAACTTAGTTTTTTAAATTATGTACTTTTAAATGCATTAATTTGTACATTTATTATAAAAAAGTATTATGCTATAATATTAGTGCCGAAAAACCATTAATTAAGGAGATATTTTAATTTTAATGTTGTGGAATAGATGAATTATAATCAGTTAAACATTTTTTTAACGTTATACACATGACTATATGTGTATAAAATATTTTTAAAAACATTTGACTAATTTTATGAGTAATCATATATATAATTTTAAATAAAAAATAGCAAGGAAATAGGAGCATTCATAATTATTTTCAGTTGACAATACACAAATTGGTTCTCATATTTTATTCGTCACTGTATTCTATTCTTTCTTTTTTCACACAATTGGTCGTCGGCGAGAGAAAGAAATAACAATAAAACTACATCTTCGTTAATTACATTTACAATCTACGCTCTTCTCGATTCACAGATATATTCCTTGGCTTTGTCATGCACGAACTGTCTTCTTCAACGAAGAAATTCAACTTTTTAATTTGATTTCTTCACAATTCCTAAATTTCTGAATTTACTTCTTCAATTCTTGAATTTCCAAATCCTTAAGTCTCTAGATGTTTGATTTTATATACTTGTAGATTTTTCGATCCTAAGATTCTAAAACTTTTTGCTTTACAAATTTTTGAATTTTCTAAATTCTTTGCTTTTTAGAAATATAAGGATTACAATCCTTAAAATCAGTTTTGAATCAGTTTTGATATTTAAATCTGTTTTCAATATATATTGTTAGCTTTTTGAATCTTTAAGTTCTTCTCATTTTTTCTCATATTATGTTCTAAAATCTTTTTATTTTTCATACATCACATTTATTTTATTAATCTATTTTTTTTATTTTTTCGAAAAAGAATTAAATACATGCGACTTTTGGAATAATCTATACATTCTTTCAGTACTTAAAAGTTATATTCAATCACTGCGCTATATTCTGCAATATATGATTTTACTAAGAATATTCCTTTAGGAATATATATCTAACTGGTCCATCCTGATTTCACTACATTCGTGCTTTCTGAACAAGACTCGATATTCTTTGGTAATTGTAACAAACTACACTATTTCTGATGTAGCAACAATTAAAATTAACTAATTAGGTCTTTGTTTTCTTCCTTTTTCTAAAAAGTTTGCAGATATAATATATCAATTTATCATGTTCTACACTCTAAAGTATTACTCATCTGGATCTAATTAAAGAATCTTTATTTTTCCTTATTTTAATTTTATCTTTATTTTATTCTTAATCTTTATTTTATTTCTACTTATAATTAGTGCTAATCATAATCAGTGAAAAAGGATAACAAAAATGCAAAACATGATTAACATTGTTATATGTTAGAACAGAAAATATTAATAATGGTTTAAAACATTTAGATTAGATAGATTATTTTTTATTAGTAACAATTATCTATAAGATTAGTTAATTATTTACTAAATTTCTGTCTAAATTATTTTTAAATATTACAATTAAAAGGGAAGCTAAACTAGTTTTAATTATTAAGAATAATATGGCATATATAAGCATAATTATATATATATAATTATATATTAGTTAATTATTAATCAACTAACGAATCATTTTCTAAAAGTTATTTTTAATAAATTATAAACAAAATTTGCAAGCAAAAAAGAAAATTTTGAAATTATTTTTTGATATTAAAGCAATTCAGTAAATAATATAATTATGTAATATTAATAACATAAAATATAATTAATGATATAATTATATTAGCGCAATTGATTATATTATATATACATAAAATTTTTTTTTAAAGATAATTTAGGCATAATTTAGTAAATAATTTCTTAGGACAAAGATATTACTTTAGTCCAATTATACAACAACTAATTTTTTGCGATAATATATTACATATAATATGTAGGCTGCATTTGCAACATCATCCTTTGTCTTTAGAACACAAAAGAATTTTTAAAGAAATTTAGAACTAATATATATTTTGTGTAATTTAATAGATTTTTGCAACTTTAAAATTTCTAAACATTTCTAATTATGATCAATACGCAAGATATGAACTTGCGCTACAAATTTATAGATTAAAGTGCTCATTTTAGATTTTAAACAATTATTCTCTGTAGCTAAACAATTTTACAAAGGATAATTAAATTGTTAAAGAACAATTCGGCGGCATCAATAAAAAGTACTGTAACTGTAAAATTAACTTTTCAAGAGAAATGTTTATATTGTTTTTCTTATATATAATCCTTATTTATATTTTTTTATATTATTTTAGATAATTTACGTTTTATATTTGTCATTTTATATTTTATTTAGATCTTTTTATTTATATTTTTTTTAAATGCACTGCTAATAAAATAATATTTTAAATTGATTATATTTAAAAATGCCTAAAAAAATTACAATATTTCTTATTGATGCCCCTTGGGTTATCTAAAGAGGCACAACAATTAATCATTAGAGCATAGGAAACAGTTGGCAATTGTGGTGGATAAAGAGGAAAGAGAGGAGGGCTTGTTATCAGAGATGAGATCAGTGACACTGGATGTCACTGGGGTAGTGGGAGTAGGAATGTAATTGTTATAGTTACCATTACTCATGTGCAGCACCTTGGCCATCTTCTTCATGGTAGCGTCTAGTTTGGAGTCTGTCGTTTCCAGCTCATTCCCGAATTCATCCAACATTCTGTAAAAGATGTATCTTGAAGTCTCGTAATAAAATAAAAGCATAATAAACAAAAGAAAGAGATGACACAAATAACGAAAAAAAAATGAGAAAATTTTATTTACACAGCTTGTTCATTTGTTCATCTGTTGATTTGCCTGGATACTGTTTTTAATGTGCCAACTGTTTCTCCAATCATATCTAATTGTTCATCCTGCTGCATTATCACATTATCATGTTGCTGCATTGAATCACTTAGGAATTGCCTATTTGGACTATCAATTTCATTTTCTAGCTTGCTGTATTTAGTGGTGCCATGATTGGTAGGTACTCGCGCCGGGCTGTTGTCCAAAAGCGGCTGAACATATATACACATAACAGATATAATTATTGTAGATATATAACGTATGATTAATGTTGCAGAAATAATTGTAAAATTATATTTATTTATATATTTATATTTGTATATATTTAACACACATTCAGAGATTTAATAATAAAATACACAGATAAAAAGTAATAAGGAAAAAAGTAAGTTAATAAAGGAACAGATAAGTTTAATTCTCAATCGCAAAATTTATAAAATTTATCATAGATTATAAATAATATATATATAAAAG